AAGTAAATACACAGGATATTTTAGATACAATTGAAAAATTATATATACTTAAATCACCAAATTGGTTGGAATTCATTCTTGATTAAACCCAATGGAGATAAATTACTGAAGCCAAATGAGTTTTACTTGAACTTTGAAGGGCACAGCAGTGAATGTGGTACGTACTGGTCAGAATGCTCACTACTCCAAACCTATATCAACATGCAGAAAACAAAAGGGAGGGACCGATAGGCACTTCTTAGGATGGAGAAACAAATTGCTAACAAGTTGGACACCTGGGAATATGTATTGAGAGTCTTTTAGTTGCTATTTTTGTAAGTGCTCTAGATAAAGAAAGGAAAGAAACCTCTCAGGTTTGCAGTAAATGTTAACCCCATTTTAAGTACTGAAATGCTAAGCTCTTGAACATAAATGGCAAGATGTCTCAAAGTTTGCTGAATGAGCAGTTGAGCTTTTTGTGGGTCAAACATTAACCCCAATACTTAGTTATAGATAAGTATTAATTATGACCCAGAGGACAAATCTAGTAGTTCCTGTTTGTTTCCTGATGACGTTGGTCTCTAAAGGACAATTGTATGCCACTGGGAAGGGGATGGTGGAAATAACAGAGACCATCTCTCCAGTTGTATGAAACTGTTCTTCACCTCCTCCAAGAATATTCTAAAATTTTAATTGTCATTTAAGAAAGAATTGGAGGGGCGCCTGGGTGGCTCAGTCGTTAAGCGTCTGCCTTCGGCTCAGGTCATGATCCCAGGGTCCTGGGATCGAGCCCCGAATTGGGCTCCCTGAGCAGCGGGAGGCCTGCTTCTCCCTCTCCCACTCCCCCTGCTTGTGTTCCCTCTCTCACTGTGTCTCTCTCTGTCAAAGAAATGAATAAAAATTAAAAAAAAAAAAAAAGAAAAAAAAGAAAGAGTTGGAGAATATCCAGAGTGAGATAACCAGAATGATCAAGGGGACGTGGGGATTATACGAGCTAGGTATAGCAGAATAAAAAGTTGGAACTCTTAGGTTTGAAAGATGAAGGCTTAGAAAGAAGATTTATTTTTTATTTTTATTTATTTTTTAAAAAGATTTTATTTATTCATTTTAGAGATAGAGAGTGTGTGGGTGGGGAGCAGCAGGTAGAGGGAGAGGGACAAGCAGACTCCACCCTGAGTACAGAGCCCGAATTGGGGCTTGAGCCCCCATCCCTGAGATCATGACCTAAGCCAAAATCAAGAGTCGGACCCTTAACTGACTGAGTCACCCCTCTCCACTCTTCTCTTCCCCTCCCCTCCCTTCTCTCCCCTCCTCTCCACTCTTCTCTTCCCCTCCCCTCCTCCCCTCCCTTCCCCTCTCTTCCTGTCCCCTCCTCTCCTCTCTCTCCTGCCTTCCCTTCTCCTCCCCTCCCCTGTCAGATTGAGTTCACAGTTAAACTCTGCTATCTGGTGGATTTAGTCCTGAATTGGAAATTGAAGAAGAATGTCTTGGACTCTTTTGCTAATTTCCTTTGTAAACACTCGAAAGTTTTTCTGTTTCTCTGTGAACCCTGACTGCCTCTGAAAAAGGAAGAGATTGTATGTGTTTTTTCCCAAGATTTATGAAAACTGAAACATGTTGAAGTGAGCTAGTGTTAATAATGCCTATTATTTTTTTCTCTTCTTGTTTGTTTTCTTTTTTGAATATGTAGAACATTAATATGCTTCCAAAAGCCCAACTTACTCTAAAAGGTGTATGTGAAGGGGTATGTCTCCCTCTTGTAACCCTTCTCCCAACCCCTTGTGGATAACTTCATTAGTTTCTAGTTTCTCTCTCTCTCTCTGCAGAAATTAACATACGCATATGTATTTTCTTATTTCCTCTTTTTCTTACACAAAAGGTAGAATACTATACATACTATTTTAGACTCTGCCTTTTTCACTTAACAGTGCATCCAGGAAATCACTCTGAGTTCAGAAAGATATTCCTCATTTTTTTTCACAGTTGCATGGTCTCCAATGTGTGTACGTACTACAGTTTACGTCAACCAATTTCCAATTTGGGGGCATTTAGGTAGTTCCGGTATTTTTGCAATTACAAATAATGTTGCAGTGAATAATCTTATTATCGTCTGCATACATGTTTTTTGTATTGTTGGAGGTATATCTTCAGGGTAGAATCTTAGAAGTGGGATTATTGGATCAAAAAGTGTAGACACTCCCTTCACAGCAGTTGTATCGTTCTGAGTTCCCTCTAGCATTGAACGAGGTATTGGTGTCCTTACAGCCTTCCCAACAGAATGGGTGGTCAGACTTTTGAATCTTGGCTAACAGGATGGGTGAGAAATGGTATCTCAATGTAGTTTTAATTTTCATTTCACTTATTGAAGTGAACATTTTTCCATATATTGAAGTCCATTTCTCTTTGTTTTGTGAAATTTTTCTTGTCTTTTGTCCATTTTTTTTCTTGTAGGATTTTACTCTTTTTCTCTAAACTTATATATAATAATGACTAATAATATATAAATGTATGTATAATTTGTATGTTAATATTAGGGACATTAGCCATTTATCTGTGTGTGGCGCATATTTCTTCTAATTCATCATCCTTTAACTTTGCTAATATGTGTTTTGCCATGGAAAAGTTTAAAAGAATTTTTTGTGGCCCTATTTATTACATATTTTCTTAAAAACTGGGTGTTAGAAAGCCTTTTCCCATGCCTGTGGTATGGGGTGATGCCTCTTGTTTATTGAGGGCTTGCCAGGTAAAGGTGCTGCAAGTGACCTTGCACTTGGTGTGTTCTGAGTTCCAGTGTCCTCATCTCTGAAGATGCTGTCTCTAAATAGCATCTACATCCTAGAGTTGTGAGAATTACCTGAGTTCATACCTGAAAGGGCTTTGAACAGTTCCTGACACATAGTCAGTGTTGGATCAAGATCGGATATTTAATTATTGTGCCATAGTATTTCAGTTTTAAATATCAGTATTATAACACCATTCTTTAAATTAAAGCAAAATTCTGGCATCACCTAAATGTTGTTTGTATTTCTTTTACTATAGGTCTTAAAGCTCACCATGAAACAGTGTCTTGTTTTTTTACATGCTTTGTCTTATTGTAGCTTAAATCAGATACTCAGATCTGGGACTTCTGGGGAAGGGCTCAAGGAGGAAAGTTTGGGACATGGCAAGAGCAGATTAACTGTAATTTTAAACCATCAATGCTCATGTTTTGTTAGTTAAATATGAATAATTACTTATAGTTATTGATGCTTCTAAAATGTGGTATTCATAAAGTAAACTTTTTTTGTTACTAGAGTTTCCTAGGGATTGAATTCAACATTTTATAAATGCTTATGGTTTCCAGGCTCCATGTAACCGTGCTACAAATTTCATACTGTGTGATGTCCCCTGTCTGTAGTAGAATCCTTTAATTTTCAGGAAGAGTGCTTGGTTCCCAGAGAATCATTGATAATGCCTTCAGTTGGAAACATTTTTGGCTCCTGCTTATGCTTGCTATCTAATGATAAATTGTTGCTATTTTTTTTTAAGTGAGAGACTATCAATTTTTTAAGATTTTATTTATTTATTTGTCAGAGAGAGAGAGAGAGCACAAGCAGGGGGCGGCAGGCAGTGGGAGAGGGAGAAGCAGGCTCCCCGCCGAGCAGGACCCAGGACCCTGGGATCATGACTAGAGCCGAAGGCAGCCCCTTAACTGACTGAGTCACCCAGGCGTCCCAAATTATTGCTATTTTAATTTCATTTTTAGCAGCTTAGTTTGTGGTGGGTTGTTTGGTGAATCTTTTAGTATTTGGCCTATGATTTCTCAGTCATTGGTCTTTGAGACCTGCATTCATTGCTTTGCAAGTATGAAACACCTGACTTATTTGCAGCCATTTATTTGCAAATATGAAACATCTGCTCTTAGTAAAGCAGCTACATGAGCCTTAACCCCATTCTCAATTTACTTCTATAGTGAGACTTCATTACCACTGGTGGGTCCTTTTTTTTTTTTTTTTTTTGGTGAGAATTTAGAATTGTTGTGGTGGGCAGAGACTGGTTCTTCCTTTGGTTTACCTCAGTTGGCCATGACCAAAAAATTTTAAAGCAGTTGTCTTAGATTATTTAGCAATTTTCCTCTTCTGTTGCTGGCCTGAAAATAGGAAGTATTTTTACTTTTCATTTTAGCCCTAAACTTTAATTATGATACTGTAGATAGTATTTTTCTTAGGTAGCAAACAATTTTAGATGATTAAGCATGGAAACTATTGTAGTCAACATTACAGACTTAAATGAAACTTGGCTTTTAGTTTGCTTACTTTTAAATATTTTATTTATCTATTTATTTATTATTTAGAGCATGAGTTGGGGGAGGGGCATAGGGAGAGAGAATTTTTTTTAAGATTTTATTTTTGAGAGAGAGAGTGAGCGAGCAGGATAGGGGGAGGGTCAGAGGGAGAAGCAGATTCCCCGCTGAGCAGGGAGCCCTGATACAGGACTTGATCCCAGCACTCTGGGATCATGGCCTGAGCTGAGGGCAGATGCTTAACCGACTGAGATACCTAGGCACTCCTCCTGCCTTTTTTTTTTTGGTGCATAAAGGGTGATTTTACTAAAGCACAGAGACAGGACCCATGGGCAGAAAGAGCTGCTGCAGGGAGAGAGAATCTTAAGCAGACTCTGCACTGAGTGTGGAGCCCCACTCAGGGCTTGATCTCACAACCCTGAGATCGTGGCCTGAGGCAAAATCAAGAGTCAGACTAGTTTGCTTCCTTTTAACTGGCTAGAAATGCTGTCTCTGTTATAGTATTCTTCTGAATTTAATTTGGGGCTATCACAGTTCTTATTTTACATGTTCTGCTTGAAAAATCTTGATATTTTAAATCTCTCACAGCATTTAATATAGAAAGTATTCAGTATTAGTTGCTGATTTGATACCTTCTCTCCCATTCTTTGTTCATGTTTCCTTAATATGAAGTCATGATTAGAAACTTTAATTCAAGTTGTAATTACATTGATTATCTGTCTACTTTTTTGTTCTTCAGGTTATCAGAGAGAACTTCTCTATCAGAGGGAAGATGGCTCTTTCAGTGCTTTTGGGAATGATGACCCTTCTGGGAGCACTTGGTAAGTGTGGTTGTTTTTTTTTTTTTTTAAGATTTATTTATTTGAGAGTGTGAGTGAGTGCAGGGAAGGGCAGAGGGAGAAAGAGAGAGAAACTTTAGCAGACTCCTCACTGAGCTTGGAGCCTGACTCAGGGCTTGATCTCAAGACCCTGAGATCATGACCTGAGCTGAAACCAAGTCAGACGTTTATCCGACGGTGCCACCCAAGGGCTCCCACTTGGCAAGTGTTTTTACTAACAGAACAAATCTGTCATGAATGGGCTCTTTGACTCAGTCAAAATGGCCATGAAACTGACAGATGTGTCCCTATGTATATAGGCTTGTAGGTTGCTTTTCCTATAGCCGGGCTTTAAAAGACATTTTCCTTTTTAAATATGGTTTTAAAACACTAATAAGTAAATGTTTTTATTTAGAAAAGATAAGCTATAAATCCTTTTTTGTGGGAAAAGTAGTAAGAATACTTTATGATGATGGTGCAGTTGACAAGAAAAACTGGTTAGAAATACTGAGTGATTGTCACATAGTTTTTGTTTGTTTGTTTTAGAGAGAGCACTTGAGCAGGGGAGGAGGGCCAGAGGGAGAGGGAGGAGAGTGAATCTTAAGCAGGCTCTACGCCCAGTGTGCTCAGATGGGGCCCGATCTCATGATCCTGAGATTGGGAGTCAGTCGTTTGACTGAGCCACCCAGGCACCCCGACGTAGTTCTTTCTTAATCATACATGATCAATACAAATTTTGTATTAACACAGTCAACATAGTTTCTTTAAGGTTATTTTTTTGTGAAAAACAGTGATGGAATTGAGTAATAAGCATCCAGATTTCCTCCAGAATGGAATCTCTGTGTGGCTGATTTTGGATGATTATTTTCTCTCCTTGCACTATTGTCAATTCTACATTTCACCCAGAAGAAGATTGACTAACTGTAGCAGTCAGGTTAGACAAGGCATGCTGCGGTAACAACCCTCTAAAATCTCAGTAGCTTATTAACAAGAGCTTTGGTCTTGCTCGTGCTGCATTTCCACTGTTGGTCAGCAGGGGGCTCTGTAGTCTTTGCTCAGCAGCCACTATCTCCCCAGGAGGCTCCAGACTTGTCTCAGTCTGAAAAGAGAAGGCTGGAGTATCCAACACTGGTAATTAGGTGCTTCAGCCTTTGGTGCAACATCTCTTCTCACTTTATCGTTATGACAGCTGGTCACATGGCCGTGCTTAACTTCAAAAGGGCGAAGAAGTGAATTTCTCTGCATACTCAAAGTAAAAGAGGATCAGATATTACTGAATACTAGTAATATTTATCACACCTAAACATTTCATAGGATGAGACATAGCTGCTTCAAATTTTCTTTTGGCCGTGTCAGGATAGAGATCCATAAATAGAAAAGTTTCGGTGTTTTATTGCTTGATGATCTATTCACCTAAATATGTATTGTTCTGTAGCAAGCATTGGCAAACTTTTTCTGTAAAGGCTCAGGTAGTAAATATTTTAGGCATTGCAGGCCACACAGAGTCTCTGTTGCATGTTGTTTCCTCTTTCCTTCTTCCTTCCTTCCTTCCTCCCTTTAGAAACCATTCTCAGGTGGAGTGTGCTGGAAAGGAGACACAGGTAAACAGACCCTGGGCTGGATTTGGCACAAGGACCAGATTTGGCCTGGACAGATTTGGTTTGTAGGCTGTAATTTTCTGACTCCTGTCCTATCGCAGAGAAAATATCCATTTTCTCTAGTTAAAAGTACTACCATTTGATTGTGAACTATATATACTTCATCCATAGCTTTAGGGTTGAGCCAAGTGTGTAATGGGATCTTCCTTGGTAAATACCTAGAACAGGCCGAAGATGATAACCTTGGACAATTTAATTCTCCTGGAGTGTCGAATTCTCAACCTATAAAATAGTGGGTGGTGGGGGGGAGCAGATTAGATGATTTCTAAGTTCCTTTCCAAATCTGGTGTTTTGGGAGTTGATGTGGAATTACTTGGCCATATCAAGTGGAAACTGTGTCTAGCAGCTAGGCTGAGATGTTCATGCTGTCTCTTTGTTGCCTTTTTTCCCTTTGTTCCTTCTTCAGTGATTATCCTTTTGTGAAAATTGTGGTGGGGAAAAAATGTTGTTATTGTTGGTGTTTTCTTGCTCAATGTTATTTAAAAGACTTAGAAAGTGTATTTTATGTAATTTTTCTCCTTTTTCACCTAGGCTGTCAGCTTTTGTTCTAAGATGTTTCCTTGAAGCTGATCCTTACATAGATATTGATCAGAATGTGTTACACAGAACATATACGTGGCTCAAAGGACGTCAGAAATCCAATGGTGAATTTTGGGAGCCAGGAAGAGTGATCCATAGTGAGCTTCAAGGTGGCAATAAAAGTCCAGTAACGCTTACAGCTTATATTGTGACTTCTCTCCTGAGATATAAAAAGTATCAGGTATTTAATCTTTAATTTAATAAATGATAGGTGGGAAATCACAAGGAAGGTAGGTCTTGATGAGTCAAGAATGTGTCTGGAAACCAAAAGAGTTTTGCAATTTTACATCGCATTTGAAGTCTGAATTTGGGTACCTTTTTGCTTTGCGTTTGTGGCCATATTCTACAATCTGAGAATGAAAATATGAACCCACTCTTTCAGAATAACTAAGAATGCTTTCTTATATAAATGTTGTACTTGCTATTGGTAAGATAAATCGATACGTATTTTATCATTGGAAAGGTTCATTTCTTAGGGGACAGAAAAGTCTTCAGAATTTGGGAATGCATTCTAGCACATTTAGGTTGTGAAGGATTTTCTTTTTAATTTCTAAAGTATCATGGAGCAATTATAATGTCTGCTAATTTAGTACAAAATATACCCACACTGTAAAAATCCTGTTAAATGGGCGTGGATGTCTGGATGAGAATGAGCAGGCATGAAAAGTTATGCTAATGAACTTAATTTTGCTCCAGAGCTGTCTCAGTGATTGATGCCTTTACTGCTTTAATGGCAACTGCATTTCACATGATCGAAAACAACCATTCTTGATAGTAAGCTCCTACTATTTCCCTAGTCCAGTACTAGGCACGTGGAAGATAAAGTTTCCCCTAAACTTAGAGCTTCAACACCTGAGATTAGATATGAATAATATTTTTCTCAAGTTATGTTTTGTGCTCTCATCTGAGTTCATGATATTCAATGGTAGAAACACTGGCAAAAGTTCTGCTTTTTATTTCTTATTCCTTCTAGGGAATGGTGCCTATTTACTCATAGAAACTGAAAAGCAGGGTTTTTTCTTTTTTTTAAATCTTTTCTTTATTTTTATTTAAATTCCAGGTAGTTAACATACAGTGTTATATTAATTTCAGGTGTACAATATAGTGATTCAACACTTCCATACAACACCTAGTGCTTAATCACAAGTGTACTCCTTAATCCACATCACCTGTTTAACCCATCCTCCTGCCCACCTCCCTTCTGTTTGTTCTCTGTAATTATGAGTGTGTTTTTTGGTTTGCCTCTCTCTTTTTTTCTCCTGTATTCATTTCTTTTATTTCTTAAATTCCACATATGAGTGAAATCATATGGTATTTGTCTTTCTCTGACTGACTGACTTAGCATAATACTTTCGGGCTCCATTCATGTCGTTGTAAATGGCAAGATTCCATTCTATTTCATGGATGAGTAATATTCCATTGTATACACACATGCACACACACACACACACATATCTTCTTTAGCCATTCATCAGTCGATGGACACTTGGGCTGCTTCCATGTCTTGGCTATTGTAGACAATGCTGCTATAAACATCGGGGTGCATGTATCCTTTTGACTTAGTATTTTTGTATTCCTAGTGCAATTGCTGGATTATTGGGTAGCTCTATTTTTAATATTCTGAGGAACCTCCATACTGTTTTTCAGAGTAGTTGTATCAGTTTCTTTTCCCACCAACAGTGTATGAGAGTTCCCCTTTCTCTACAGCCTCACCAACACCTGTTGTTTCTTGTGTTGTTGATTTTAGCCATCTGATAGGTGTGAGGTAATATCTCATTGTAGTTTTGATTTGTATTTCCTTGATGATCAGTGATGTTGAGCATCTTTTCATATGTTTGTTGGCCATCTGCATGTCTTCTTTGGAACAATGTCTGTTCATGTCTTCTGCCCATTTTTTTTTTAAAGATTTATTTATTTACTTGAGAGAGAGAGCGTGCGAGCAGGGGGAGCGACATAGGGAGAGGGAGAGAATCCTCCAGCAGACTCCCCGCTGAGCATAGAGCCCTACGCAGGGCTCAATCCCAGGACCCCAAGATCAGGATCTGGGCCGAAATCAAGAGCTGGACGCTCAACCAACTGAGCCTTCCAGGCACCCCTCCCATTTTTTTTAATTAAAAATTTTTTATTTTTAAGTAATCTCTACACCCAGTGTGGGGCTTGAACTCACAACCCTGAGATCAGGAGTGCACATTCCATGACCAAGCCAGCTAGGTGCCCCTCTTCTGCCCATTTTTAATGGGATTATTTGGTTTTTGGGTGTTGAGTTGAATCAGTTCTTTATATATTTTGGATATTAGTCCTTTATCAGATATGTCATTTGCAAATATCTTCTCCCATTCTGTAGGCTGTCTTTTAGTTTTGTTGATTGTTTCCTTGGCATGCAGAAGCTTTTTATTCTGATGGAGTCCCAATAGTTTATTTTTGCTTTTGTTTCCCTTGCCTCAGGAAACATCTAGAAAGAAGTTGCTATGGCCGATGTCAAAGAGGTTACTGCCTGTGTTCTCTTCTAGGATTTTTATGATTTCAGGCCTCACATTTAGGTCTTTAGTCCATTTTGAATTTGTTTTTGTGTATGGTGTAAGAAAGTGGTCCACTTTCATTCTTTTGCATGTTGCTGTCCAGTTTTCCCAACAGCATTTGTTGAAGAGACTGTCTTTTTCCCACTGGATATTCTTTCCTGCTTTGTTGAAAATTAATTGACCATGTAGTTATTCGTTCATTTCTGGGATTTGTATTCTGTTGATCTGTGTATCTATTTTTGTGCCAGTACCATACTGTTTTGATTACTATAGCTTTGTAATATAACTTGAAGTCTGGAATTGTATACCTCCAGCTTTGCTTTTGTTTTTCAAGATTGCTTTGGCTATTTGGGGTCTTTTGTGGTTTCATTCAAATCTCATGATTGTTTGTGTTAGCTCTGTGAAAAATGCTGTTGGTACTTTGATAAGGATTGCACTAAATGTGTAAATTGCTTTGGGAAGTATAGACATTTTAACAATGTTTGTTCTTCCACTCCATGTGAGCATGGAATGTCTTTCCACTTTGTGGAAAGTTCTTTGTGTTGTCTTCTGTTTTTTTCATCAGTGTTTTATAGTTTTCAGAGTATGGGTCTTTCATCTCTTTGGTTAGATTTATTCCTAGGTATCTTATTTTTGGTGCAATTATAAATAGATATGATTCCTTCATTTTTCTTTCAAAAGCAGTATTATTTTGAAAATGAATAGTAAATCTTTAAATGTCAATGATCATCATTGATTCCCATTGCCTAGGACAAAATCAGGTGCTTAAATAGTCACTGAAATTATTTTTTGAATGAATGTTTGGAAATACTTTTTGTTTAAATGCGTGGTAATGGGTTATTTTGAATAGTAAAATATATGTTTTTTTTTCAAGCCTAATATAGATGTGCAAGAGTCTATCAACTTTTTGGAGTCTGAATTTAATAGAGGAATTTCAGACAATTATACTCTAGCTCTTATAACTTATGCACTGTCATCCGTGGGGAGCCCTAAAGCCAAGGAAGCTTTGAATATGCTGACTTGGAGAGCAGAACAAGAAGGTAATGCATGGGGTCATTTGAGATTGTTAGACTGCTATGCATTATGAAATATACAAATTATGTGAGAAAGTTTTGTAAGCCAGATACGAAGTTGATAACATTTACCTCTTCTGAATGGGATGATAAATGAAATGCAGATGAGATCAGATGAGTCTGACATGGCTGTTTCTGCTCTCCCTGAGTTTTCTAGGGAATTTCAGGGCTTGGGTGTTTCCTTCTTTTAGATATGTTCTGCCCTGTGTTAGTTACCTCTTGAGTTCTTTGATGCTGTTTCTGGTTTCGTGGCCTTGAGTGGTCATTAGGACATGGGGTGTGGAGAGACTTGGGTTTTGTTGCTGCTACTTGCTTTTATGAGCTTCAGTTTTCCTAACTATAAAATGGAAATAACACCTAGCAGATGTTCAAAATTTGAACTAAAATGCTGATTAGTGGAAATGCAAATGCCAAAAAATGCTGTTAGTGAGTTGGAGGACTTTTTTTTTAATGGGTTACAACAGGATAAAAAGTACAAGGGTTGCTACTTCCCAAATGGCCTCTATGGTCAGAGATCCAGGTATGTGTGTGTGTGTGTGTGTGTGTGTGTGAGAGAGAGAGAGAGAGAGAGACAGACAGACAGACAGACAGACATAGAGATGGGATGAGTGGGCAGAAATAATTTTAATTAGTGTCCACCATTTCGAAGCCTTGTTAATTCAAGAAGGGATAAATGTTGAACGTGCTTAGAGATTCCTAAGACTGTAAAAAATATTGCATTATTGTTAGCGGTAGTTTAGATCAAGTTCTTATTATCTTTACTGCCCGTTGCAGTGCTGGGGACTGAATTGTTGCATGGAGACTGTAGGCCTTGACATTTCTTCTCTGCTTGTCTAAGTGGTAGTTATTTCACATTCCACCTGAGTGTGATCATCATCCAAAGAGTAATATTAGATGTGGGAGGGGGCGCCAACTAAGATGGTCCTCTGGGGGTAGCAGGAATATCTCTTGGAAGATTGTTGAGTTGGCCAGGGTCCTTCATTTTTTTTCCTTGGGGGCTTGGATTTTGAACTTATAACACTAAATTTCAGATAATGAAAAAAGGGAGAGATTTCCGGGAACATTAGAGCTGGTTAATGGCAGATTCCCAGAACAGGATTCTTTCTAATGTGTCCTAAAATATTTTTAGGATGGCCTGGTCAGAGAAGTTATGTACATTATCTTCTGGAGTATAGTACATTTCTCTTTTATTTATAGCTGTTTAGTCTCAAGCCAAACGTGGAATTTCCCTTGGGAAATTATTTTCATCAAAATATCCTCAAATATAAAGAAAAGGATGAAAATTTATAAGTTGTAGTAGTTGGAAAGTGACCTATAAGTACATGTTTACATGTATGTCTGTGTGAGCATACATATTATTGTATGGCATAAATATATTCATATTTGGAAATATATCTCTCCATATATTTATGCTAGTCAAGTAGGACTTGGACCAGTGTAGGAATATTTAATGGTGTAAAATGTAATTTTTGCTCAATTGGTCAGACTATTATTACTTGTCTTTTGCAGGAGGCATGCAATTCTGGGTGTCATCAGAGTCTAAACTTTCTGAATCCTGGCAGCCACGTTCCCTGGATATTGAAGTTGCGGCCTATGCGCTGCTCTCACACTTCCTGCAATATCAGGTGTCTGAGGGAATCCCGATTATGAGGTGGCTCAGCAGGCAAAGAAATAGCTTGGGAGGTTTTGCGTCTACCCAGGTGAGTGATGATAGTTTTTCATTTTTAAAGCTAAATATAGTTTAAATATATATGTAATTTTTTAAAAGAAGCAGGTGGCTGCTCTTTTCATGACTTCATAAAATTGGCAATTTAAAAATTCAGTCCCTTAGGTCAAAGGTCCAAGTTACTGATTTTAATCTTTTTCTCATCACAGATATAAACATCATATGTGATATGTGTATGGAATAAATTAGTTCCCCATCTATACTGGCCATCTTTCATGCATGGTAGAGTAGATACTCAGTTTCAGGCAGCAGGTACTTTCCAAGCCTCTCCTGTACTGTAGGTCAAGGACATTCAAAAATGAATAAAGGAGAGCTCCACTCCCAAGGAAGGTGGATGAATACATAGTGGGTGTCCTAAACATTACTAATTTTAAAGACTCTTTGGTGACCTTGATATATACTTACATGCACACATGTTTTTCTTTCCTCAACAGGACACCATTGTAGCCTTGAAGGCCCTATCTGAATTTGCAGCTCTAATGAACACAGACAGGACAAACATCCAAGTGACTGTGATGGGGCCCAGTTCACCAAGTCCTGTAAAGTTTCGGATTGACACACAGAATCGCTTTCTCCTCCAGACGGCAGAGGTGTGGACGAGGGGGTGGTTATTTAAAATTACGTGTGGGTGATCGCTTATTGCTGGAATGCTGTTTTATTTCCATTCTATTGACTTCAACAAAGACGTGTTCCTAGAGCCCTCTAAAGAGACTGGGGGGAAGGAATGCCCTCCTTTGGTTGAGTTTGCTGAGCTGGGGAAGAGAGGAGAGGAGAGGAGGGGATGGGGACTTTGGAAAGATTTGGAAAAGGAGAAAATAGGGGGAAAGGAATGGAACCTGCTGAGTTCCTATTCTTTGCAGGCAGTGTGCCAGATTTCTTTACAGGTGCTATTGCATTTGCTTCTCAAACCAACACTAAGAAAGTACGTACTTTCATCCTCACCATACACATGATAAAATGAGGCTGAGAGAGCTTAAGTAACTTGCTCAAGATCATGTTGCTAGTAACAGTAGAGCTAGGATTTGGACTTATGTTTCAGACCATGTTCTTTCCAGCTGCACCACGTGTCCTCTTAGGAGAATTGATAGAATCTGTAGGAGGATTCTTACTTTAAAATAGAATGAAGGCTTATCGTAGACCCTAACTTTATTCCTGTGGTTAACCTTGTGGGAAACTGAGAGTGATGGATGAAAGTGATAACTTCAAGGCTGGAAACTGAGGAAGAGGGGTGGTGGCAAAAGAAAAGGAAGTAGTAGTGTGAATCATAGTCCGTGATCATGTGCCGCTGTGTTCACAAGAGTACCAGCAGATTAGGCGCTAAGGGAGATGGGAGGAGTGAGAGGACTTTTGTTTCTTGTGTCTCTTGCTTTCACACCTCTAGAAGGGCAGCCTTACCCCTCTCTCAAAGGGTAGAGATGAGGGTGCGTGGAGAGTGAGCCCTTCCTCTGCCTTCACCTCTCTTACCTGGTTGGCCCATAGCTTTTCACATGTGAGGCTGTGTGACATTCTGAGAGCTTTTCACAGATGGCTTACACTCCTAGTGAGGGGTAACATTGATTTCTTGTGCTAGCCAGAAGGACCTGGATATGGAAGATTAGCCTCATTCACTTTTTCCCCATCTTTATTCAGCTTGCTGTGGTACAGCCAACTGCAGTTAATATTTCCGCAAGTGGTTTTGGATTTGCTATTTGTCAGGTATGTAACAACGTTCATTTTTGTTGAGTTCAATAGGACTTGTTATAATAATTCTTTCATTTGGGGTACTGCTAAATCTGTAACAGATAATGTATAAAATTCTTAAGGATTTCTATCTGTGACTTAGGTAAGATAAATCACTCTCTTTAATAAAAAGTATTAGAGGGGCGCCTGGGTGGCTCAGTCGTTGGGTGTCTGCCTTCGGCTCAGGTCATGATCCCAGGGTCCTGGGTTCGAGCCCTGCATCGGGCTCCCTGCTCAGCGGGAAGCCTGCTTCTTCCTCTCCCACTCCCCCTGC